CAGGTCCTGCTGGTCAGCGTGGTCCTTCTTGGCTGGTGTCCTCTGCGTCCTCCCCAGGAACTCTGCCTGTCGCAGGACATTCTTCTGCCCTGCCTCCGCCAGGCCCTCTGCCTGTGTGGGCCTCTCCTCTGCTGCCCTGGCTGGGTGCAGGGGTGGGGGCTGTGCACAGCTCTGCTTGCTCAGCTGACCTCCTTCCCAGCTGGTGACCCTAAGAGAGAGGGCCACTTCCCCTAAGGTCTTTGGAGGTAGCTCACTGAGAATCCCTTTCCTGGAGTAGTCACTGGCACAGAGGATGGAGTTCTGTGGTTGCCCTACTGTGTGGCCCAGGAGGCAGTGCTGCTCCAAGCCAGGCTCCAGAGGGTGCAGTGCCCACAGGAGTGGACGTCAGGCCTCACACCTGAGCCCAGCAGCCAGGGATTTGTAGGACCTAGTGGGGGTGGGGCGGGAGGGAGCAGGACCAGGCAGAGCGCACTCTGCAGGGCAAGCAGAGACAGGCCCTGTGGTGTCCCTTTGTGGCCTCTGGCTGACTCTGTCCCTCTGGGTCAGAGGCTGTGGGCTCGTTCACCTCCCAGGCTGCGTCCCCTACTCAGTGCCAGTGTTGCTTCTGTCAGTCATTGTGGGTGTGACAGTGTGTTGCAAAGAGGCCACGTTTTGCGAACCCTTTGGCATGAAGAGCCGCCCCAGGGTGCAGAGCTTTCTTTCCTTGTGCACGTTCATAACTAAAAAGGCTGCCGTGCCCTGCTGAGAGAACTGGAACCGTTGCCTGTTAAGTGATGGCTGTGCCTTCACACAACTCCCAAGTACCGTGCCACACAGGGGACCAAATGACATCAGCTCTGGGCTGTCGGGTCTCCTTTTCTACGGAGGATGGCGTGAAGGACCTTAGCCAGAAGCAGCTGCCACGTTTACGCACCTCTGACTTGGATGCGGTTTCCCCTTGACCTGCTGGTGCCTGTCCCATGGCCTCTGCTGGAGGACCGGCAGGAAAGCAGAGGCAGGTGCAGACGCACCACCTCTCTCCCTCTGCACACTTCATCTGGGCGGGTTTCGCCTCAGTGGCCAGGCTCCCGGTGTCCCTTTTGGAGAATGCTAGAGAGCAAGTTGCCTGAGGAGGTGCTGGGACTCGGCCTCTGTCTGCGAGCTGGGTCCTCCAGCCCTTCGTGCTCCTGCAGGCCCAGCATCCTGCCGTGCTGGGCACTGGGCTCCACCTCCTGCCTCTGCTCCTGGTTTGTGGCCCTGGGTGGGTCTCAGCCATCCTCCGGGTGCGGTTGGTAGCTTTGGGTTACGTGGGCTCGTGGGTGCAGAGGGTGGTGCTGATGGTCAGCCTGGACGCCTGTCCTCTTCCACCAAGACCAGGAGCCAGTGTTAGCCGGGGTCTGCCGCAGCCTGTCTGCTCCTGGTCTGTGTTAGGAGCCTGTACATGGCTCTCTCCTCTTTGTTTCGTCCCCCTTCTGTGGTCTGTGATGCTGGGAACACAGAGACACTTCTGCCCGGCAGTTTTTCTTTTTAACCTGTGTTCAGCCAGGCGCCCTGTGTGCTCAGCTCGTCAAGGTTCTGTCCCCCCTGCCTCTGGAAGTGGCCTCAGCAGCTGTGAGTTGAGAGCTGGGTGGGCAGGCCCTCCCCCTTTGCCCAGGCAGGATGCCATCTCCCATCTGCTGCGCATTCTCTGTGTGCCCAGCAGGATGGTGCCCAGACTCAGGGGTAGGGTGACCTGGGCAGCCCTTGCTGGAAATCTAAAGGAAATAAAGCCCATGAAGTGGCATGAAGTTCTAGCCTGTCACCATAGGGGACCATGAGTACCACTGATGGCTGGTGTAGAACCACAGAGTTTATTCTCACAGTTCTGGAGGCTGCAGACTTAAAAGCAGTCCCCTGGGCCAGAATTGAGGTGCCGCAGGTCACTTTCTCCAGAGCTCTGGGCCGGGGCTTCCTGACTCTTGCAGGTTGGTGCTTGGCCTGTCACCGTGCTACTGTCTCCTCGCTGTCAGCATGTGGCTCTCTTCCCCACATGCCTCCCTCTGGCTCCTGATCAAGCCTCTCTGCCCTGCTCTTACTGGGACACTTGCCATTGGGTTTAGGGCCAACCTTGGTACTCAGGGATGATCTCATCTTGTGATGATTAACTGCATCTGCAGAGACCCTTGTTCCAAGTAAAGTCACAGGCACAGGTTCTGGGGATTAGGGAGGACACAGATCTTTTTGGGAACTACTACTCAGCCCACCACAGGGACTACCAAAGGCCAGTGTCTGTGTTCTGTCTGTGTCTTTGCTGGTATTTCTGCTCCATTGGCAAGACCTGGCTCATAATACAGTGTATGCCTTTGCATAGATTCAAATCTAAGTTGGGCAGGACAAGAAATGATTTAATCATCTGTGGGCTGTGTTGCTCAGGCTGGGCTGAGGCCCTGGGCTCAAATGACCCTTCTTCCTCAGCCTCCTGTGTGTCACATGCCTGGCTAGCTGACCTAATCCTGACCCCAGAACTCACTGAGAAGAGGAGCCTGTTGAGTACCTGCTGCTGGATGGGCCTGGGGCCAGTGGGCGGCAGGGAGACTCCCACCTGCAGTGCCACTGTGGGCCACCTCAGGCTAATCCTTGCAGGTGCATTGGCTAATCCAGCCCAGGTGTCCCCTCGAGGTCCTAGAGAGTGACAGTAGCCATCTCTTTTTGTTAAACCTATTTAAGATAAAAATGAAGAAAAATGGGTTCTTACATAGCTGATAGATACTGCACATGCAGAGATTTGTGTCAGTTGAAAACAAAGAAAAACAAAACAACCCCAAGAAAACCATGAAATTGTAAAATCAGACCTGGGAATCGCCTGTTTTAGGAAGGGAAATGGAAGGAGTTGCGTGGACGGCATGGAAACCTGGTGTGTTCATTTTCATCCTGACATAAACTTCCGTTTTTCAGGTGACCGTTTACAAGAGCAGTTTGGACATCATTGAACCCTGAGAGTGTTGTAGTGACCAGGTTTCCTAATAAGTTTACAGTGATTTTGTTTTTAAAAGGCGGTCGATTGACACTAGCTTTATTGACACCCTGTGGTTGCTCGGGACCCTTTGGTGATCTGCTACTCCACCAGAGGGGCAGACAGATGCTGTTTGTACTTGACAGAGGTTGAGAGTGGCAAGGTCATATGCACTGGCTTCTTGGTTTTCCGACTCTCTGTGATTCCAGGATGTGGGTTTTAACTCCTTCTATCGCCAGGGACTAAAGTCCCCCTCTCCACATTATAGCGGCATGCATGTGACCGTGTTCTGCCTGGCAATCTAAAATGTGGGTCTGGTGAAGGATCAGCCTGGGTCTTGCTGGAGTGGACAGTTCAAGGGCCGGCTGTGTGGGATGAAAGAGTAATAAAACAAGATGCTGGTTCTGGATTTTTTTCTATCATGGATGTAAAGGATTGTTTTAGCTTTTTTGTTACTGTGACTAAGAGGACCCGGCCAGAACAACTGTTGAGGAGGAGAAGTTTATTTAAGGGCTCACGGTTTTAGTGGTCTCAGTCCATACACAGCCAGTTCTATTCTATCATGGTGGAAGAGTGTGGCAGAGGGAAGCAGCTCACATGATCAGGAAGCAGACAGACTCCGCTCTCCAGATACAAAATATATACCCCATAGTCCCGTCCCCAAGGAACCATTTTCTCTAGCCACACCCCACCTGCCTCCAGTTACCACTCAGTTCATCACATCGGGGGTGAATTCACTGATGAGGTCAAGGATGTAGCCCAGTTATTTCTTCTCTAAACTTTCTTGCATTGTCTCACCTGTGAATTTCTGGGGGACACCTCATATCCAAACCATAGCAAGGACTTAATAGGACGGGATGTCATTTGGCAAGGAACAGTTAGAAGAGACTGCTTGGTCTCCTTGTCTGTGTTCACACTGGCTGGCTCATGAGCCGGGCAGTGGTTTAACCCATACAGGCCTCTGTCTATGCCAGGAATCCAGCCACAGGACTTTTGGTGTGAGTGTGGGATCGCCGTTGGCCCCAGTGCAGTGAGTGCATTGCTTACCTAGTGGCCGATGCTTTACTCACCCCAGCTTCCCTTCCTCACCGAGAGGGGGAGCCCTGTCCCAGGCTGCCCCATGTGTGGCCCTGCCTTGGTTGGGTTCCTGCACTGGCAGTGGTTAAGCTCATCTAGGGACACCCCAGAGCTCTGGGCCAGGGCATCTGGATATGTTCCATCTACCAAGGGAGCCTGCCGAATCCCCAGTCAGAGCCTCAGTTGCTGGTGCACTCCAAGGCTCATTGCTGGGGCTGTGCCATGTCCCAGCACCCAGTGAAGACCTGGAGCTCAGCTGTATTCTTATTTTTAAAAAAAATAAATGCATAAAAGTGGGAACTTCAAAGCATTTTGCTGAACCAAGCCCTGAAACCATCTTGGTGAAGGTGACTTTCTATAAATGTGGTTGCTAACCCTGGAGTTTCCTCAGGGTCCTCATTTCTTTCATCTGACAAAGGACAGAGAAAGTAAAAGAAGTGTCAGTTCCTAAAATTGGACCCGACTGATTTCCCAGTTTCATGTCAAGTCACATCTGTGAAATGTGCCATTTTAAGCCAAAGCTTTGCTGAAGAACCTGTGTGCCGATGGTGGTGACTGGAGCACGCACGTGCGTCCTGGAGTGTTTTTGAGAGTTTTTTTAATCTCTAACACCAAGTGCTGTTTTTGTTTGTTGGATTTGAAGAGAGTCTGGAGAAGTATCGAGTGTTCACAAACCTGCAGGCGGGTGCTCATGGGATCTTCAAGAGGGAAGTCGGTGTTGCCTCGAGTCAAAGGAGGAGGCTGGCTGGGGGCGGGTCCTGCTTGGGTGGCGGGCCCCTGGGCGGGCTGGCACTGTGGGTGCTGCATCCGCCTGTGTCAGTCCCTCCTGTGTAGAATGGCGTGGGTGGGCCCGTTGCGTGCTGCACACAGCTTGGAGTGACCCTGCGTGGCAGCACCTGGGGCTGACCCGCCAGGCTCTGCTAACCCTGCCGTGGGCCCTTTTCCCTTCCAGGCAGCTGTGGCCTCTTCCTTGTCCAGCTTGGCGTGCATGCGTGCGGTCCGCTGGGCTGTATGGAGTCCAGTGCTGGATGTCCGTGCCGGAAGTGTGACTTTGCCTCTGCAGGGCGGGGTCCTGCACAACCCCTTGCACTGCCTGGTCTATCAGGTGCCCTCAGCCAGCAGGAGCTCCGAAGAGGTAAGCCACTAGGTCGTTCGTACGTGTGATTCTTCTCCGTTGAGCTTCTAGCAAGTTCTCTCACTTTTAAAACCAGAAGTTGGCAAATAACGTTGCAGATGTTTCAGGAACAGTATGTTTTCACATTATAGATATACCCTTAGAAAGACAGAGAGCCAGGGGCCATGGCACCTGTGATCCCAGGAGCTCGGGAGGCTGCGGCAGGAGGATGGCGAGTTCAGAGCCAGCCTCACAACTCAGTGAGGCTCTGTCTCTAAATAAAATGTAAAACAGGGCTGGGGTGTGGCTCGGTGGTGCCCCTGGGTTCCCCCCACAAGAGAAGACAAAGATGATTGTGAGCCAGGGTCGGGTGTGTACTCAGTGTGGCCAGCTGGGGCTTTCCTGGCGTCCCACTCCTGTGTCTACCTGTGCTCACTGTGCCTCGTGCTGCACTTCTGCGTCTTCCTGATGCCTCTGGCGCTGGTCAGGTCAGACCGGTAGGGACCGAGGGACACCCACTCTGGCCTGTTGCTTCATTCAGTGGACTTGTGTTGAGCACCTGTGGAGACACCAAGAAAAATGTCCCTGACCTCATGGGATTTATAGCTCAGTGGGGTGGCCGGTGTTCGTCAGGAAAAACACGGAGAGTGTGAGTGTTCCAGGGTGTCTGGGCGAGTGGGTTGTGGGCGGTGTTACTGGGGTCCCTTCACTGTTGTTTATTATGAAACAAAATGTCATCATGATGATATGTCCTTCCTTCAGTAACTCCTGTTTTTCCCCTTTAAAAAGGACACGTATGTTCTTTTTAAAAGAAAATTTATGTCTCCAGAACCTGCCACCTTCAGTTCTTAGCGGGACTTATGCTACTTACCTTTGTTTTCTTAATTACGTGGTTCTATTGCTGCTGTTCTCAGTGTGTCTGTTTTAGACATTATATGTCAACGTCCAGTCCTGATGGATGGGGACACTAGCTATTGGACACACTCCTGTTCCTCTTTTTTAAAAAATATCTTTATTTATTTATTTTTATATGGTGCTGAGGATCGAACCCAGGGCGTCGCGTGCTAGGTGAGCGCTCTACCGCTGAGCCACAACCCCAGCCCCCACTCCTGTTCCTCTTAAGAAACACTGCTCGGCCTTGGATTCACATCCGTCTCAGGAAGTGTGCAGCACAGCCCAGCATGGCTGGTCGGAGAGGCAGAGCGGCTGGGAACTGGAAATCACTAGGACAGCACGGAGTGGGGAGCTCGGGGAGCAACTGCAAAGTTGCTGGCCTCTAGCTGCATGTGGTGGTTTGACCCTATGCAGCCTGGGGTAGTTTGAGAGCTGACTTGTGGGGTGGACTGCCATCCAGCCCAGCATTGTCCACTGGTAGGAGCACATGCAGATCCGACGGGTGTGGTGCAGGCTTAGGGACTTCGGGAGCCGTGCTGATGTGGGAACTGTGGTCCGCAGGAGGCTGGTCACAAACTGTGGCCTGAATGTGCTGGGTTTGCTTCTGCCAAGCAAAAATCGCAAGAGTCTTTTTTTATGGGATGTGGACCAATGTCCCATAAAAATGGGACACTGATGGTGTAAGCTTTTAAATGTCCGTGGGACAATCTAAAGTCAATTGGCACACAGGGAGCCTGGAAAAGCTCCACTTGGGGAACAAGACATTAATAGACACAGTCACGGAGGTGACACAGATGTCGGAGTCGTCAGACAGACTTTAAAGGAGCCACTGCTACTGAGTGGAGCTTACCCAGAAATGGAATCTCTTTATTTGAAAGTCAATAGAGGTAGTTCACTATAGTACCAACAGTCTAAAGAAGGAAAACCGTGTGATCATTGCAATTGATGCAGAAGAAGCACTGGACAGGACTCAGTGCCTGTTTGTCACGAATGCTCAAGCAGCTGGCAGGGGCAGGAGGCGTCCTTGTGGTGGTGAGAGTCGGGAGCGAGGGATGGACACCCACTCGTGCCTTGAACTCCTGCCCAGCCCTGCACAGGAAGTTCCAGCCAGCGCAGGTGTCAAGGAGGAAGGCGTTCAGTTCACCAGCGGGGAGGAGACAGCTTCCTGTTTGTGGACAGCGTGTTTGTCCGTGTCCCAGATCCCAAGGGGAGTGGAACAGATCTTCCAGAGTGGCCCCCGAGAGCACGTTGTGCGCATGGAAAGTCGTCCTGGTTCTTGTGGACCCGAGCAAGGGGCAGCGGAAAGCAAAGTGTGAAAAGGCCGTTTCTGGAGCCCTCCTCTCCACAAAGTAAACGCAGCAGAAGGTGCTCGCAGCCTCGTGTGCTGAAGACCCAGGACTCGTGCCTTTTGCAGATGCCATTAGTCTCGTTTTGGTTCCACCTGGGTGAAGTCTGAGGAGACTTGCAGACCAGGGAGACTCCATGCCCAAACCAGCCTGCAGGGGGGTGAGCGCAGTCGGAGTGCCAGCAGGCTCTTTTTTTGTACATGCAGACAAGCTGATTCTGAAACTTATACAAAAAGACAGACGAATTGGAAGAGTCAAACAGTTTTGAAGATGGGCAATGCAGTGGGAGGCAGCTGTGCTGCTGGATTTTAAGACTCCCTGGAAATCGGAGCTGGCGGGGTGGAGCGGCCGGGCCGCATTCCCTGCAGCCCCCCTCGGCTTCCCATGGAGACCTGGCAGCCCCAGCATGGCTCCTCACGGTTCGCCTTCGCCCAGCGCAGGGGTGGCACCTGTCGGGCCCGTGCGCAGCTTGCAGAGCCTCACCGTGCTGAGTGGGACAGCCCGTCTCGGAAGGGCTGCCGGGTGGTTTTGTTCCCACGAATTTCTCAAGACAGCTGAGCTTGGCTGCTGGAGAAGTTGGCGGGGTGGCCAGGGGGAGGCGGGTCCCGTGACCACCACGCAGCAGCCGCAGCCCCGCCACGAGGTGGAGTGGTCTGGATCCCAGTTGTGCCGCTGGCTGCGTGAACCTGTGCAGGGGTTAAATCCCTAGAGGTAAAAAGTATAAAGCCATTTGTACACATTGTAGAAAAATAAAAATATGGTGGTTTATGAAGTATATTTTTTAATACCTTTATTTGTTTATATGTGGTGCTGAGGATCGAACCCAGGGCCTCTCATGTACTAGGCGAGCGCTCTACAGCTGAGTCACAACCCCAGCCCATTTATTAAGTATTTTAAACTAACTGCTACTTGGATAAATGCCATTCTGTGATGAGGTCTTCTAGGATTTCAGTGTCACCACTGGTGGTTTTGTGCTCTGAAAATTACCTTACATAGGCTAAGCATGCGTGGCTTTAGCTAACTTTGGTCTTACTGGGGCTTTCTTTTGGGGTGGTGTGCTGTCCCTGGGGTCATTCCAACAGGAGTGCTGACCAAGGGGCTGCACCTCTCTCCACCCTAGGTGAAGCAGGTGGAGTCAGGGACAGTCCAGTTCCAGTTCTCACTGAACCGGGAAGAGCCTCTAGGCACACCCATGGAGCATGCCAACGGCCCCAAGGCAGCGCGGCGGTCCTGCAAGAGGCCTCCCTCGTCCCCTTCAGGTGAGCAAGTGTGGAGAGCTGAGTCTTGAAGCCCCAGCGTCCTTCCCTCAGTTCCCAAGCAGGTCCTTAGTCCCACATAGCCGTGGTCAGTTGATAGGATAATTGTTAGAGATGGCTTTAATCTGGGTCAGTTGGTTTTTGCTTGAGACGATGGTGGAGCCGGGACCGTGTGATGAAGTGTGGTCTGTGTGACACCTTCCCCTGGCTGTCCTGCAGGCTTGGGGCCACCAGCTCTGTTTTGCACTGTTAGTGCAGCTGTCCTTCTGCTTCTGGAAACACTGTCTGGGACTTGGGAATCGGTGCTGTCAGGACGTGCGTAACGAGGGGAGTCACGGCGGGGTGTGAGCAGCAAGGGCCCCGCGGAGGTCAAGCCTTGTCGCGGGTGGAGGAGTAGTGAGGGCGTCAGCTCAGCCTTGGTTGGCTCAGCTTCTGCTTGGCAGGGACCCTGTGCTTGGGCCTCTTATTTGAAATAAGCTCTGCTGAGAATTGTCCTGTGGTGAAGCGCAGTGGCGTTGAGAGCGAGTCTCTTGACTCTGACCCTATGGCCTTCTTTTACTTAACAAGGACAGTTGTGGGTGCACTGGGCCTGCCCTGACCATCCAGCACAATCTCCCCACCTCGGTCAGCTGATCAGCAGCCTTACTTCCCTAGACTGTGCTACAGGACACACTGGTAGGCGTGGGTGTTAAGACGTGGACGTCCTGGGCATGGGGAGCACTTAACTCTGCCCACCAAAAGGAGGACAGATGGAATAGCCAATAAATGGTGCGGCATGATTAGCTGTCCATGTGGGAAACAAAATTCAATCCAAACTTCATACAGTACAAAAATAAATTCCAGATGGAATAAAAAACAGAACTTTAGAAATTTCAGAAAAAGTTAGAATTAGACGATTAGAATTAAAAGAATTAAAAATTAAAATTAGAAGAAAGATTGCAAAAAGCTTTTCTCTATGTCAGGTGTGGTGGCATATGCCTGTCATTCCAGTGGCTTGGGAGGCTGGGGCAGGAGAATCGTGAGTTCAAAGCCAGCCTCAGCAGCTCAGCAAGACTCTGTCTCTAAATAAAATGTAAAAAAAGGGCTGGGGATGTGCCTCAGTGGTTAAGCACCCCTGGGTACAATCCCTGGCACCAAAAAAAAAAAAAAAAATTCCTCTAAATCAATAAGATACAGATAAACAAAAAGGAAATAGAAGACATGAGGAGGAAATTCTTGGAGAAGAAATCAGGGTGACTGATAAACGTATGGAAGATGCTCAGTTTTACTAGAGATTGGAGAATGCAAGGTAAAACAAGAAATCGTTTCTCCTCTTGTGGAAAGTCCAGCTGTCTAATAGCGTGAGGTCAGCAGGGATGTGGTTTAGGAGGGGCTCTCACCACCCAGGGGGATGAGGCGCGCAGGCTGCTTCCTGGAGCGGCTTCGTGAAGTTGAGCTGACACCCACGATACCTTCCCAGGTGTCTGTTAGAACAGAGAGTTCATGTGGGACGGAGCGGGGTCAAGGAGGCTTGTGACACTTTTTAATAGTCAGGAATTCAAAAAAACTGCCTGCTTCGCAGCTGGGGAGTAGCAGGCCACGGCCTCTGCACTCCAGGTAGGTGAAGGGAGCTCTTCTCGCACCGCAGGTAAACCTGTAGCACATTGTGCTGGATGCAAACAGCAGGTCCTGGAAGGAGAGGCCGGGCCGTCAGGCATGCCACTTGCCTCCTGCTTGATGCTCCACTCTGTCCTCAGTCCTCAGCTGTAACCTCAGGAGTTAATGGTAAAAATATGAAGAACGAAGCTTGAGGACTCTTAGGACAGAATTGGGAATGCTTTAGTGACTTCCAGGGTGGGAAGGCTTCCACCAGCCACAGAGAGGATCGAAATGTGACAGCATCAAGATAGGAAAACCCTTTCCTACGGAGCAGACTCCACAAAGAAAGTGAGAAGGCAGATCTCTGCCCGGAAGACGTTGCAAAGCATCCACCACTGAGTTAGTCCGAGACTCAGCCCTGGAGGTGCTTCTCTAAGCCAGGCCTGGGTGAGCAGCAGGGAGCAGAAGTGGGCCCAGAGCACGGGCAACAGGGTCGGGCCTGGCGGGGGCAGGGGCTGTCCTTAGTATCACCATGCCCTTGCTGTTGCCAGCCTTCTGGTTGGCACCATCAGTGGGCAGTGACCACCTGCATAGACCCCTTTTGACCAAGGGTTTGCTGAAACAGAGACTGAGTCTTGCTGGAAGCCAGGCAGTCAGCAGGACACCTCTCCAAGGAGCTTCCCCTCACCTGGTCGGTTCTCCCTGGCTGCCGCCCTCCCTCTCCCCGTCCACTCAGCAAGTGCACTCGGTCTGTGAGCTCAGGTGCTCTGAGAGGCTGTGTGCAAACCATCCAGCCACCACGTGTATTAGGTGGTGCAGGGATTATGGTCAAGGGGGTGCAGGGTGGGGTCAGGGAGTACATGGAGGCGTTGCACCTTCTGCTGAGTCTTGCTGTGAACTTAAAACTGCTCAAAAAATAAAGTCTATTAGAAAAACAAAGGATGAGGAAGGATGGAGGGGTAGAGAGTGACTGGTCTGTCATCCTTAATTAACGTGTGTTCAGGATTTCTGCTTCTAGAACTGAGGCTCACCCCTGGCCAAGGCCAGCGGCTTGTTTTCTGTAGAGGCCATCTAGTAACTACTTTAGGCTTCGCAGGCCAGGCGGTCTCTCCTCAGCGGCTGGACTCTGCTGGTGTGCCCCAAAGCCATCGGATGACAGAAGAGGCGTGGGTGTTAAGACGTGGCATGGCTGTGTTCCAGCAGAACTTCATTTACTCTCCCGGTTTGACCTGGGCCTGCAGATGCGAGTCTTAGCTTTCCCTTCCTCTTTCTTCATCCGGAGGCAGCTTCCCATCTTTTCCTGCTTTAAAGTAGTTCCCACAGAAGGCAGACCTGCTGCTGGGAGGTTGGGGAGACGCCTCTGCCCCCCGGAACCTGATGCCTTTTGAAGGTTTTTTTTTTTTTAATTTGGTTTTTAGTTGTAGTTGGGCACAATACCTTTGTTTTATTTACTTGTTTTAATGTGGTGCTGAGGATCGAACCCAGGGCCTTGCATGTGGTGGGTGAGTGCTCTCCCGCTGAGCCACCACCCCAGCCCTTGCAGGTTTTTTGATGACCATTTACATTTCTTTTTAAGAGTATTGATCTGTTTTGGTTTTCTCCTGTCTGGAGCTGACTTTCAGAACACACATCCTTTGGAGCAATGGCTGACCTCACCTGGTATAGAGCTGCTGGGATAAAGTTGCCCTCAGTTCTAGAATTCTGACTTGAGTCTGTGATGAGACTCCTTTCTGGTGTCCTCCTGACACTGGGCTCTTCCCAGACGTCATTAGTTTCTTAAAGAACTAGCACTCGGTTTTACTGATTGGTTCCTTTAAGTTTCTGTTTTTATCCTTATTTCTAATCAATTCAATTTTAATTTTATGTGCCTGTATATTAATTCCATCCTTTCAGTTTCTTCAAGTTTTTAGAAAATTGAAAGCTTAATTATTTCTCATCCTTCCCATCCACTTTTTTTGTGTGTGTGTGCTGAGGATTGAACCCAGGGCCTTGTGCAGGTGAGGCAAGCACTCTACCAATTGAGCGATTTCCCTATCCCCCCATCTATCATGTTTAATAGTAAAAGTTCTATAGTTTTAAGCTTTCTTTCCAAGTATAGTTTGGGCCCCCATTTTATAGTTTTGTTTTTTGTTTTTTGCTATTTTTTTTTTTTTTTTGGTGCAGGGGTTGGAGCTCAGGGCCTCATTCATGGTAAGCATGTGCTGTACTACTGAGCTGCACGCCAGCCCTGTTTGCTTTCAGAATTTGAGAGTGTTTTAAATATCCCCACATTAAAAAATATATGTATCTATTAAACCCTTCTTGCCTTTTCTTATGGAAACTTCTGGTCTTTGAAGCTCAGCTCGAGGGTCTTGTCTGTGACAGAGCTTTTTCTCTAGTATCCCATGGCCTTTGGAGATACCGCTGTTTATTTTTTATAATAGCATGTTGTCTGCTATTTTTGGACTATGTTAGTCAGGTTTGCTTGGTAACAAATAATCCCCAAATCTGGGGTTTAAAACGAAAGGCTTTATCTTTTACTATGTGCTGGTGGCAGTTGGAGGTGGCTCTGCTTGTCATGGACCTACATGGCAGTTGCCATCTTGAGTATTGCTGTTCACCAGCCAGACAGAAAGGGAGGCCTTGAAAGGACCTTGTTCCATCAGCGAGGATTGTGGCCCAGAAGTGACACTTGCTCTCCTCCCACCTTGTTGGCTGCACGTAGCCATGTGCCCACCCAGGCTCAGGGGACTGGGAAGCCTCTCTCATGCACAGAGGAGATGAGAGGCAAGTGTCTGTGCAGCCTAGACTGCCGTGGAGCATCTCCCCGTGGGCTGTCTTGTTACTTTGCATTACCCAGTAGAGTCCTGGCCACAGTGTGGCATGGAGAGAGGTGTCTGGTCAGAACTCCTGTGTGTGCTAGGGTAGTTTAACTCGGAAGGAACAGGAGACGCAATCTTGGCCATCCCTTGACAGGAAGCTCAGAGGCAGAGCTGATGTCAGGCACGGCTGGGTCCTCATAGTCACGTGCTGTCCCCGAGACGATGCTGCCGTCCTGTCCTCCTCCGGCCCTTCAGCTCTCCTTCCTTAGACGTGGCTTCCTTCTCCGTGGTGACCCCGGAGCTCCAGGGCTCTCCCTGGGCTTAGGGGTTCCAGCAGAGCACTTGTTTTGTCCAGTTGTTCCCGTAGAGTCCTGAGACAGAGCCCCTCATTCTGCAGTGTCACCTGCCTGCACGCTGTAATGACCAATGGAGACCTGGCTGGGGACAGAAGGTCCTGTGTCACATGTCGCTTGTGGTGTGGAGGTTGGGCCTGTCCCTTATTGTGTGGTCAAGGGCTGGAGGGTGATTCCCCAAAGGAAAGCCATCAGGAGAGAGCATGGGTTTGGGCAGAGTAAAGCTGGCAGGGGCTGGTGGCCCTGTGGAAGATGGGCCGAGCCCCAGGTC